GTGTGTGTGAGAGAGAGACTGTGTGTGTGTGTGTGTGAGAGACTGTGTGTGTGTGAGAGTGTGTGTGTGAGAGAGAGACTGTGTGCGAGTGTGAGTGTGTGTGTGAGAGACTGTGTGTGTGTGTGTGTTGTGTGAGAGAGAGTGAGAGTGTGTGTGTGTGTGTGTGTGTGAGAGAGACTGTGTGTGTGTGTGTTCAGGTGTGTTTGTTTAACGACAGTCCAGTGTGTTCATAAGTAACAGCAGCATGAGCCAATCAGAGCGCCCAATCTTATCTGTGCTAATGTGTCATCACTGACCTTTGACCTCATTGGCAGAGAGACGCCAGACGAGCTTCAGCTTCAGATACTCGAGCCTGAGGCCGAAGACGAGACACGGACAGAAAACATGCAGAGATAAAAGCTTTACAAACACCATCCGTTCTGATTTCAATAAAGGCTCTTTTTCATTGTTCAGACGTGTTCTGGTTGTGTGGAAACATGCGTTTAAGTGTGTTTTACACGCATTTCTTCAGAAGTCTGCGCTATTAACCCGTCCATCCATCCGTTCACAGCTGAACTAAAGCTGCGCGGCGAGATTCTCTAAAGGAAGGTTCTTGACGAGACGATGGCGTTTACTGTAATACCGTTATTGAAACACACGCGGAAGCAAAGACAGGTTTCGTAAATCAAGCTTCTGAGCTCTGAACACATTCAGGTTCCTCAGGACAAATAAATAACAGCGAGAGGAAATTCTCAGACAGTCATTAGATCAGAAATCTGGTGGAACTGGTCTGTGAGTGAAGACAGACAGCTGACAACATACCTGCGGATTCAACTCCGTTAGGGGTTTGTTGCTGTTGCTGAGCTGATTTAGCATGAAGGTGGCTGTGAAACACTCACTCGTGACGATCAGAAGAGCTGCACGATGGACAAACATACAGCAATAATCCCCAAGCAGCCGTGGTTTAGTGAATTTATAACAGCTAATGGGGTTTTAGGCACTCCGCTTCGTGTTAGCTGTTATAAGTTCACTGTAAACCACGGCTGCTTGGGGATTATTGCTTTATTCCATTTCGATACAAAGAAATGAACCTGCTTTGACCCTCGCCATTGAGCTCAAGTGAATCCCGTTCCTCTGATCGTCTTTGAGTCGTTTCTGCACTTTGACTGGAGGAAATCTGGCTCGTTCAACACAAACACAACGCCGTCTATTTGAGGACTGATAATACAGATCAGAGCGACGATCAAGCCATCAGTCCTGACCCAAAGCCATGCTTCTGTTCTCTCATTACGTCTGGACTGAGTGAAGCTAACTCAGAGATCGCAGCTCTGCCGAAGGAGCTCCTCTGAAGCGTGTGGTCAATGCAAACGCAGTTTCAGCTCAGATTTGTCCAGACCTGCCAGCGTCTTCAGTCTGTCGGCTGCTAAACAAACAGAACGCACGAGAGGAAATAAGCACCGTTAACAAAAGAGCAAAGACAAGACATGTCTTGACTGACTGCAGTGCATTGTGGGTAATCTCTGACGAGAATGAGACATATAAAACCACATGAGCAATCGATCCGTGTCATTCAGCGCCATCTGCTGACCGCAGCATCACTGCACACTAAGTACACGAGATTATGATTAATGCATCACACAGTACGCTATCACAGACCGTACTCAGGTCAGACGCCACTTCGACCATAAGAAACTATAATATTGTTAAATGCTTCATTTGTAGTTTTAACTATGTAATGCATACTTCATAAGCCCTATTTTGATGTTGCATACTTCAAGTGCTTTTCTTAATGAAGTACTGAATACTTGCATCTCTTCTTCTTCAGGACAGTGGGACGGTAGAGGATTCAGCAGGAAGCAGATCCTCTTTTGCCTTACGGCAGTCGTCCAGATAATTCATTTTGATTAACTCTTACAAGAATCGAGACGCAACTTTATGACCCAATACTATGGAAGCACCACGGAATAAAAACAATAAAAGTTATAAGACTTCTTATCTCACACTTTTTTCTCTTGATTCTGAGCAAAACATTTAAAAACTGACGTAAACTAAAAAGTCGGATTTGTTTTTGAATGTATCATTTTCTTTCCTCCACCACAGAATGGAAATAAAGGTAACTGCAACTTTATAAAAAAAAATTGAGATAAAAAGTTGCAATGACCTTTTTTCTTTATTCTTCATATAAACGGGTTTCCATACAGTACAGTCTGACTACATACAGACAAACATCTGCTTCTTCATCACCAGTGAAGCACACAGTTTTAGTAGAAACTAATAAAGGGACACAGTTTATAAGAGACACGTCATACAAGAGGCTTCAAAACATACTGGCACGTCAAAGCTTCGTTAAACTTTATTACTGAAAATCCAGATGTTATGAACCGGTTTGACTCAAACAGGCCCGAAGAGTGAAACGCCTGACTACAAAAACACCTAGTCGACGCACATCGTCCTGTTAGACGCAGAGCAGTCGAGAAAAGCTGCAATGAAGCGCCCTGATACGCGACCAGAGCGAGTGTTCAAACACTGGGAAACGTGACGTTACAGTCAAACGAAAGCAGCACACAGAGAGATTCAGAGGTCAAATCAAACCAAACGCAAAATAAAATATGCCTTAAAAGAAAAAAAAAAAACAACAACGTGATTTCTTTAACTACATTTGTATTTTCAAGACAGTCTTCATGCCAGACTAGAGTTGTGGCTCCGCCCCCTCAGCGCTTCTTTGGGGGCGTGGCCGTTCTGGGCGGAGTCACGGGTCGCCCCGAGTTCATCCCGCCGTACTGATACTTCGCCTTCTTCTCCGACGGCTTCAGGATCTGAGAACACAGCGAAAACATCAACACTTTCACGACCGTGAATAATTATGAAAACACACAATGTACACTTTTTACATTCCAGTAATGAGAATGGTGTTAATTGTCATGAAGATGCAAAAATCATAATCAGTTGATGCTGCGGTGTTAGATCAGGTGTGCGGAGGTGAAGTCATGTGACCTGGAAGGAGCACATCAGGGTCTCGTCGACGCTCATCATTCCTCCAGCGTTGTCAAACTCGCCGCAGTAATTCGGCGCCGAGAACAACGTGACCAGCTGGCGTTTGGCGAAGAACTCGTAACCATCCTCGACCACCTGCAAAACAACAGCAGACCGTCCTAAACCAGTCCAACAAAACCACCACAGTCACTAATAGTATTACGCTTAGTTCTTGGTAATGCACATTTGACAGTAAAGCACTGAGACTGAGTTGGGATGCATACAAAATGTACTTTCATTAACAAGTCACAAGCTTTACATGGAAAATGTATTTATACTCTTGTTAAATGTACTATTATTCTTCTACCGTGTTAAACTGAACTGACCAACAACTACTAAAAGGAGCGCTCTTCCCTCGCTTAATGTGAGTGTTTATGTGTGTGTGAGTGTTTGTGTGTCACCTGTGTCAGGTACATCCGTTGGTCTCATGATGCGTCTGATCTGCTCCATCGACTGAAGATCTGGTGAAAGACCTTTGGAAGAGAAAACCCACCGG